CCCATATGTGTGCGTGCCCTGGAGTGTGCATGCCCGTGTGTGCATGCCCATGTGTGTGCATGCCCTGGTGTGTGCATGCCTGTGTGTGCATGCCCTTGTGTGTGTGTGTGTGTGTGCATGCCCATGTGTGTGCATGCCCTGGTGTGTGCATGTCTGTGTGGGTGCATGCCCGTGTATATGTGTGTGTGCATGCCCACGTGTGTGCATGCCCTGGAGTGTGCATGCCTGTGTGTGTATGCCCACGTGTGTGCCAACCCTGGTGTGTGCATGCCTGTGTGTGTGCATACCCATGTATGTGTGTGTGTGCATGCCCATGTGTGTGCATGCCCTGGAGTGTGCATGCCCGTGTGTGCATGCCCTGGTGTGTGCATGCCCGTGTGTGTGTGTGTGAGTGTGCGCCTGCGTGGGTGCATGCCCGTGTGCATGGATGCCCATTGCTTGTGTACATGTGTGTGCCCGTGGGCATGTGTGTGAGTTTGACACAAGTTTAATCCGACTCTTGTCATAGCTGCCATATTGATCATCAGCGACTTGGCTCCTTGGCCCTCAGAGCCTCTGGGTTTCCAGGTCAGGGGTGCACGGTCCCGGTGAAGAACCCCCGGAACAATCTGGAGCCCCCACACTCCCGCACCGAGCACACACTCCCATCTCTGTCACGTAGAATCAGACAGTCCAACAGGTGTCACCAAGTAAGCCATTCCCAGGCCAAATTAGCATGTGAACCACCTGACGCTAAGCCCAAATGATCAAAATGATTTAAGTCAGACCTACCAGGCAACCCGCCATGAAATGTGATAAGCAAAGCCATTTAAATCAATAGAAACCCTAAAGATCACATAACAGCAACCATGATCTTTCGACTGTGACAAGAATAAACCTGTCTGGGGGCAGAGTTCAGCCAGGCACAGGCCATGCATTATGGCCCGACAATTTCCCACAGTTTGGGGATCCAGAGTCTTGAGTACCAGCGCTTACAGCAAACATAACCCTTTGAGTTATGACTCCCAAAATGGTATAGTCTCAGAACGTAATAGATGAGTCACGCTGGGTAAGAACTTCAGGCAGCTTATGATAAAAATGATTTCTTAGACAAACACATTGAATATTTCATACTGGAGAGAGCTATGCAAGATGTATTTTCGGTTTTGGGTTAAACGAAATGATGATAAACCTCTGTTTTTCTAAATTTTCCCAAAGTCTCCAAATGAAGCACAGTGGGCTGAACGCTGGCTCAGCCGGAGTCTGGGGAGCTGCCTCAGCTTCGGGAGTCTCAGTGTCCCTGTTGACAGAGGGACAAATGTCTCGGGAACCACCTCTATGTGCCTCTGACCCACACTTCCCGAGGGACAGAGAAAGTACGACCTCTGTCCCAGAGAAACTTGACCCCGCCTCTTCGCTCACCCCTTGCTTCATCTCATGGCAAAGACTATGAGCTCACAAGAAAACAAAAGGGGTTTCCCACTTGGGAAAATGTTGTAGTTATTGAGACGTTTTGTCTACTTAAATCAGAAAATGCTTGAGAAGGATATAGTTCACATGCCCCCTGCTCCAATTATTTAAGCTGAACAATTTCTCATTTAAATACTTTCGGGAGACGGGCTCATATATTTCTAAATGCAAGTGCTACGTCAGGTTTGAAGATCCACAGAACCAGAAGCTGCGGTGGGCACCCAGAGGCTGGCCGCCACCAAACACCCCTCGTACTCCTTCCCTCTGTCTCCTCTACCTTCATCTTTCACAAAGAGGAGAGTCAGAGAGGGGCTGCCATGTGCAAATGAGACAGAGGTCTTTCCCATGGTTCTGCTCCTCTGGCCTGGCCAACAGACTAGAGAGTCAGAAAATGCTCTCTGCTCCTGTTCACGGGCCTCACTGAGGTGAGCACCCATCTCTCCCACGCAGACCAGCAGAGACCAGAATCCTTGGGGTCTGGCCAGCAGGAAGGGCTCAGGATGCCTGAGTCCCACACAGCCCTCCGGCCTGGGTGTACCCCGAGAATGAGCAGAAAACGCAGTGGGAGCAAGAACAGTGAGGGGACCCGGGACGGGCAGGAATCAGGGAGCACGGCCAGAGGAGCAAAACCACGGGCAGGGGCAGGGAGGGGAGCCAGGCCCCAGGATGAGGACTGCCAGGAATCCAAAGCGGGAAACGGGGCAAGGTAAGAGGTGGTTAACAACACTAACAGAATTCTTCCTTAGAGTGGAAGGCGGTGTGGACGGAGGGAGGGGTGGGGGCACGGAAGAGCCCGGGCAGGCCTGGACAGTCCGGGGTTCTCCACCCTCTTCCCACGTGGGCAAGGCCTCAGGGTTACTGGAGTAGAACATACAATCACCAACTTATTCCAGATCCTGTACCTCTTTCCCATTCACACGCATCTCTGGGGGCGTCTGCCCAGCTTTTACAGAAAATAAAACATGTTTTCCCACACTTGATTGGGCTGATGATGTAGAACACGGCACAAGGGCCCTGGAGACCAGCCTTGGAGAGCTGCACCCACACCCAGGAACACGGGCCCCACACCCACTCTGGACAGAAGGGTCAGGACCTGGCTCAGTGGGTTTGGGGGTACACCCTCACAGAAAGTTCCCCACCGAAGCCCCAGCCAGCTCCCAACTCTGCGGAGACTGAGTGTCACCCTACCTGAGACCAGGGCGAGGCAAACCAGCTGGCTCGAGGGGGGCCTGCAGCTGTGTGCAGGGGGGGCCTGGGGCAGGGAAGTGGGGCACAGGCGCGTTCCAGTTCCACACCGGGCCGCGGCAGGTGCAAGCACTTCTTGGAGGCCAGCTCTCGGTATTTCCCAGAAACGTGCTTTTCAGCACACCTCAAGAATCTCTTCTGTGTTCCTCTTTCGCACGTAACAGAGCACTAAAAATGAAAACACAAGATGTGAGTGAAAAGTATTTCTTTGCTGGCGTCTGTGTCTTTTCTATTTTGCAAGAGTCAAATTGTGTTCTGCTTATATCTGCTTGAACATTAACAGAGGTGTAAAATTTCTATGAGATTAGACCTTGGCATTTTTAAAAGGAATTACAGTATCTATGTTTTAAAAAGGAGGATCTTAAGGCTCAGCGCTTTGGGGCATTAAGTAGGGGCAGGGCAAACATAAACTGTAAAGGGAGTAGCTCTGAAGCTATCATTTGGCTGAAATGTTCAAATGCTGGGTTGCAGCTGATATTAGAGAGTGCAGAAATCTAATACCCGAGGACGAGACCAAACCCCGGGGCCCCAATGAGCCGCACCACCCAACTGTGGCATGATGCTGGTCCCCAGATCACCAGCAGGCGGGGGCACCCAGGGCTCACAAACCCCCCCTCAGGAAGCCAAGTGAGGGGAGCAAGCATGCTTGGGGCCCAAATCCATTCTTTCCCCCCCAGGGAGTGCTCAGAGCCCGGGGCCGGCAGCACCCACCGGGGCCCAGAGCACCCACCCGGGGCTCAGAGCACACACCCGGGGCCCAGGAACCCACCCAGGACGGCAGACACTCACCCGGGGCTCAGGGCACCCACCCGGAGCCGGCAGCACCCACCTGGGTCCAGGCAGACACAAGCCACTGCAGCTTCTTGTGCTTGAGGCAGCGCTTGAGCAGACAGACTTCATGAGTCCTGGGCTTGGGCTCCGAGCCGCAGACGGCGTCCGGCAGAAGCTGCGCCCTGGCCGAAGGGTTGGTGCTCTTACAGGCCACGGACCTCTTCCTCCACCCCTTCCCGCAGGTTCGAGAGCACTGCCAGGGAAGAAAGAGGGCAGCCACCAGCAAGGAGTCCATCAGACCTAGCCTGAGGGGTCCAACCACAGGCCCTGCAAGGCTCGGTGAGAACTGAGCTCTGCGATCCGCCGGTGGGGGCCCAGCGGCTGCCCCCCCACGTATCCCTGCCCCACTTACCTCTGCCCAGGGCCCGATGCTCCAGGCGGGCGGGCAGCTCTGAGAGTGGCAGGCCTGTCGGCTGGAGGGCATGGGCTGCGGACACAGGATGGCCGCCACTCGCTCCAACACATAGTGGGCCCGTCGTGTGCACTGGACGGGCCGGCTCTGAATGCCCCCACCGCACGTCCGGCTGCAGGTGCTCCAGTTGCCCACCGACCAACTGGGAGGAGACAAAGACACCTTGGTGAGGGGCACCACCTCTCCCGGAGACACAGCAGCACTAATCCCACCCACAGCCCACAGGAACGTGGTTATTTCTAGTTGCTCTCCAAGCCTGCCGGGTCCTGGGGCTTCTACCTCCTTGATTAGCTGTCCTGGTGATCGTTCTCCCCTCCCCTGATTTTATTCACCTGCACTTGGAAATGACCCCCTCAACACAGTGTTCTGTTCTGCCCTCTGGCTTGTTTTTAGGTGGGAAATTTCACACATGTGCAAAAGGAAGGCCCCACGTGTCCCCAGCCACCTGACTTGAATGATCTTCAACTTAGGTCCCCAACCCCGTAGCATGCGGAAGCAAATTCCAGATGTGTACATGTTTCAGTGCACATCTCCAGAAGATGAGGATTGTTTTGTTTTTAAAACAACCACAATACCATCGTGACATCTAAAAAATAGGCCACGATCCCTTAATGTCATATTATGCATATTATTATATTATTATTCAAATCACATAGTTCATATTATATCAATTCATGTTATATTATTCAATATCGTATTATTCATGAATACCATGCTATTCAGTGTTACATCTCCAGCGGGGTCATAAATGTCCTAACTGAAGTTCATCTGCTTGTCGGGAACCCAGAATCCAGATACAGTCCGCTGTTTGCAATGGGTTGGCAGGTCTTTCTTCTCCTTTACTCTATGGGTTCTTAACCTATTTTTTTCTATTCCATTTACTGGTTTCAGAAACGATACTGCCCACTGGGCTGAGTCTCCACAGCTCTTTCTGATGATCATAGTTGGCAGATTGCATCTCTGTGGTTTCCCTTTCCATGTTCCTCTGTCTTCCGCACATCCTCTAACTTGGCACCTGGCTCCAGAGGCTGGGTCACAGGTTCTATTTATTTATGTACGTGTTTCTTGTACGATGACCTCAGACGTGATAACTTCCGATAGGAGACCCATAACGTCTGGTCATCTTTCTTTGAATTCTTTAGAAGCTGTAGAGAATATTCTCTCTCAAAGCAACCTTTTTTTTTTCTTTTCTGAGTATAAAAGTATTTCTTGTTGACATGCACGTCGGCCGCTGACAGAGGTGGGATGGACCTGGGCAGGCTCAGCCAGTGGTACCACCGTTGGGGGTCAGATAAGCCCGTGACAGTCTACAAGCACCCGCTGGCTTTGCACAAACAAATCGCAGGAGGCCCTAAGGTGCACACTCTGGGGTGGGCGGTCATCGGAGGCAGGAGGGGCAGAGGTGAAATGTGGCCCAGGGACAAGTGTTCTTATGGCGAGAACGCCTTGGGCTCCCCCCAGGTGGCAGCCATTTGGCCTCCAAGAGGACGTGACGATTCTCACTCTTATCTGTCTTCCCATTCAGGGCGTTCAAGCAAAAATTGGAAATTCTGCAGGTAACGTCGGGGCGCAAAGGGGTGCACGCTGCTGGTTGTTGAAAATCTGCTGCAAAGGGCAAGGAAAAGCATGGTCTTTGTTACTCTGGTGGCGCGGTGTGCCTTTGGTGCAGCGAAGAGCTCAGAGGGCCAGCCATGCTTCTCCCGCGTGGTCCTAGCCTGTCGGCGTGGGTTGTGATGCAGGGACGTCCCGGGACAGCCAAGCCCGGGGAGCACCCGTGAGCCTCTGTCCCTGGCTGAACCCGAGAGGGGCTTCTGTCTACTCAGCAGCCATCCATGAGTACGAGTTAACCCAACAATGATTTTCTCCTGAATCTTCAGGTAAAACAGGGGATTTGTGAAGGTCCCCTGCTTTGTCCTTTGGCTTTGTGACCCTCCCTCCCACACGCACGCTGTACCTCGATAATCACACTCTGGTCAAGCAACAGCCAAGAACACCTGGTGGAGAGTTCACGAGACTCCTCTCAGAAACACCCCGTGCCAATGGGAGAGGGTCCGTGAGGACCGAAGCAGGGACCCGACTTATGCAGAGAGGGACACAGAGCGGAAGACGGAGACTGCCCAGAGGACCGCTGGGACTAGGCCTCACATTCGCTTCGGCTGGGCCTCTTTCTCTGAGCATGTGTGCACATTGTTTTTAAAGGGAGGTGAGGGCAGGCAATACATGCAACTTCTAAATTCAGCGTTTTACAATTTGGGCGTGGAGTCTACTTAAAATAAAAAACCCAGCAAAACAAAACAAAACAAATCTGAGAAACTGTTAGAGCCAAGACGAGCCCAAGAAGACACAACCAGATATAATGTGGTGTCTTAGATAGGTTCCTGAAACAGAAAAAGGACATTACGTAAAAACTAAGAAAAACCAAATAACCTGTGAACTTTAGTTAATAACATATCAATACTGGTTTATTAATTCTAACAAATGTACCATGCTAATGTAAGATGCTAATAATGAGTAAACTGAGTGTGTGTGTGTGGGGGGGCATGGGGACTATGTAATATGGGACTGCCGGCTCAGTTTTTCTAGAAACCTAAAACTTCTAAAACATTAAGTCTCTTACTTATTTTATGAATTAATTATATTTCTGTATTCAAGTAACAAAGAGAAGGTAAAAAAAAAAAAATCAAGGTCTAAAACAACCATTTTGCTTACACAGCAAAGCCTTTGTAAATGTATTTTCAGAGTCTCTATGGACCAAGGTGCGGTTGGGAATACCTGGGGACCAAGGTATGGGAATACGTAAAGAAGGGAATGAGGGCTCCAAGCCCCGGGAGGCTCATGGGCATCAGGACGCTGCACCAGTTCCGGGCATGCCGTGCCTACCGACAGGTCCAAGCAGAGTGACCAGTACTTCCCCTCACGTTCTCAAGGGGGCAGGGACCCAAACAGCTATAGAGCCAAAACCTGGACTCTTGTGAAAGCTGTGACAAATGAGGTGGTGAGGGGAGGACAGGGGGCTGAGGGGGACGGAGGGGCCCCGTCCCCGCGCTGTGTCCCCGCCCTGGCGCACTTCTCCTATTTTATACCCCGTGTTTCTCCTGAACAGATTCTACTGTGCTTCTAAGAAAACTATGTAATTCCAAGTCTTAGCCACCTAAAAAGAAACCGCTGGCTTTGTAGGAATTATTCTAGATCCGCTGTGGAAATGTTTTCATTCTTCGGTGTCGATGGGATCAGTGATTTCTGTTTCATGGGAAGCCATGGACGTGACGCATCCTTGGTATGCACGGTCCGTTTCCAGCCTCGAGGCTGTCATGGTTCTGCCTCTGGAGCCTCTGGGATGCTCTTCTGTTGTTTTCCCCCATTTCCTACCTCTGCTCTCCCAACCCCGCTGCCTTATAAATTCTAATTGGTGTGTCTACACTGGGGTTGCAAAGACGGCTTGGCTGCTCTCAGGCTTTTCACACCACCTTGTTAAGTCTTCTGTCTCCACCGTCTTAAGCTGTTCCAACTGGGTTGATCCATTCTCTGCCCTTCTCTTGGCTGCACGTCGTGAAGAAATCCTCCCGAGCAAAGATCATTCACACGGCATCTGGAAACGCCAACTGTCTGTTTTGTTTCACAGGCAGAGCTCTGGGGAAACGTCTTGATTTCAGCTCAGGGAAGAGTCAAAATCCCCTCGAGCTTCTGTGCTGGTGTCTGAGGGTTCTGGGAGCAGAAGCCCGGTGTGCCTGGTTGCTTACCGGTGGCCGTACTTGGCCCACTGGGTTCTGTTTTCACGCAGTCCACCAACCAGAACGAAGCACGTAGCTGGTATCACCGAGTCAGCTGGGCTTCCCGGGCAGGACCTGGAGGACCCGGCCGCCTGGCCCCCGGGGTCCGACCCCGCCGAGGGCTCCCCCGCCCGGCCCAGCTCCAGGCTCCCCATTGACTTTACCACTGTCTCTCCACAGGGTTTCCTGGAGTCCTGTGTTCAATACTCAACATCCCCAGCTGTCACCAATCATCAGCGGCTTCTCAGTAACATGACTTTGTCTTCTCCATTAGAAAAATAATTGTAACATTTTGGTTTTGATTATTTAAGGTTTCCTCTGAAAATGCAAATTCCCAGCAAGGGTATTTGAAGCAGCCCCTGGGCATCCCTGGGCTCACGGCTGCCCTTCTGACACCCAGGCCACCGCGGCAGGGACGGGGCCTGAGGCCTAATTGAGGCTGAGCCCCACCCGGGGCCACCCAGGGCCTCTTGTGGATTTAGCATCAGGAAGTCTCGCAAAAAGCACGTAACTGCTGGCTTCAGTTTAGAATTTAGTTCTTGTTTCTTTTTTCTGTTATTCTTTTTGAAATTTCAAGACTGAGCACTCTGCTGTTCCATTTTCAGGGAGAACCCTTGACCTTCGCAAAGGTACACACAAGGAATCGTGGCCGCAGCACCTGCGGGATGGCCGTGAGAAACACGAGGCCCCCGCGGCTGGAGTTAGTCGCAGGCGTGAGCGTGGGGCACGGGGAAGCCCGGCATGAAAATTCAGCTGCAACCACAGGGCGGCCGCCCGCTCAGGCCGACCTGGGCTCACGGTGGGGCACCTGCCACGGTCCAGTGGGCTGCTCTGACCTTCCTGTACCATCTGCCACGACCTCTGCGGCTGTGAGCGTGGGCACCCCCAGGCTCAGCCCTCAGGGCTCAGGCTCCGGGAGGAAGGCAGCTTCTGCTGTGGTCCGACTGGGCGGGGACTGTGTGACGTGAGGGCAGAGATGGGCATGTCTTCACATGCAGGGAATTTGAGGTCTACCCCACTTTTCTCCTAAGTAACCTGTTTTAAAGATAACAATGCGCATCCAACAATACACAGATGCCGGCTTGAAAAAAAGCTGCCTTTTTCATAGGAAAAACGTCAGTCACAAGTTAAGGAGCAGGGGCAGGCCAGACGCTGAAGGCACAGTGGTGGGGAACTGGGAGGACGCCGTGGGCCCCGAGTGTGCCTGCCCCGTCTGCTCTTGGGGTCTGGCTCTGCAGGAGCCAAGGATCTTGGTGCCTAAATGTGTAAGTGAACATCGCAGATATAGCAGAGTCCCTGGACAAACAGCTTGCGCTCTGCTCACACCCCAGCTTCTGGAGCAATCATGCGCTTGTCCCCAAACGCACTAGAGTGGAGGAGTGAGCGCATCAGAAATGACAACAGCATGCCCAACACGCATCACCCCTCGGCCACCGCCACGGTCTGTGAGCGGCAGGTCCTGGACACGGTCTCTAGGGGCAGCCCTGGGGACTGGCCCCCAATTTCACCCCAGAACGGGAAGACTGTCACTGACCCGGCTGGCAAGAACAGGAGCCAGACCTCAGCAATCAGGAGGCCTGGACAGGGAACGTGGCCCCGGCCATGGGCCCTGGGACGCGTGCGAATTGACAGCTACTTCACTGTGTTCATCCTCAAAAGTCAAGCCACCCCGTCCCGCCTGCGACCCTGACGGAGAGATTTATGATGAGCCAGACACCAGCCCGAACCGTGTTCATCCCTACACACACTCACGGCTTCTCTGCCCAGTCCCACAAAGCCACGTGGAAGGACACCAAAAGCTCCCTCCAGAAGGGGCGCTGCGAATATTAATTTTATGGACTGTGCTAAGTCAGGGGTATGCGAGTTTTTAGTATTCAGGGGTCAAATGCTATTTGTGCCAGATTTTTCTGTCTCACCATCCCATCATCAGAAGTTGTCTTGAGAAGAGTCTCTAAGATCTGCAAGTGTTCACCTTCATGGAGAAAATCTGAGGGGTACACGGGCTGGAGAAATGGAGCCCACTCTCCTGGACAGCCTTCCGAATTCTATTTCAGCAAAAGTCCTTCATCTGGAGGTGTTCTCTCTGCTGACCACAGAGGGTGTGTGCATTCTGTCAACTCGGGCGCAAAACTTCGGCTCATAAAAGGTCAAAGGGCCATCATTAGATTCTCAATGATGATGAAAGGCTGGCTCACTGAGCCACTGCTCCTCCATCCAGTTTCCATGGAAAACGGGGAAAAGGAGGTTGGGCATCGGAGCTGGGGAGGACTTCACCATCCCACCTCAGGTCTGGGGAAACTGAGCCCCAAGAAGCAAGGGCATCCACCAACGCAGTTGCAAAGGTGATAGTGAGGGACATGGGCCCCCAGGCTGTTCTCTGCTCATAGGATGAGCATCCTTTCCATCCTCAGATTTCTCCCTTGGGCGGGGGTGCCCCCCTCCTGCTCTCGTCCAAACCCATTCAATACCCAGCTGCCTCGATGACAAACACTTCCGCATGGAGGCACATGCGTTGGGGTGGTTGGTAACTACGTAGAGCAGACAAACCAGCAATCTGCGCCAGACTGCAGCTGGGACTGCGTACTGACAGAATAGGGGGTCCTGCCCCCGCTTCCCCGGGTCTAACATCCCAAATTCTCATGCCAGGGGAGCATGCAAAGGGGCTGACAGGACCTTGGACTCTGCCTGCGGCCCAGCCTGAGCCAAGACAGAGGTTCCCAAACCTCAGCTGGCTGGTGAGGCTCTCGAACACCTCTGCATGCCTGGCCTCTCCCCCATTCCCCAGGGACTACAAATCAGGGGTGGGAGTCCTGAATGGGGATTTTTACAAAGCCCTTCCTTCCCCAACCTGGTGGCCTGGATGACCAGCAGAACCATGACTCGGAGAAATGCAAGCCCTGCTCTTCTTTGGGACAGTTCAGGGCACTGGCCCACAGCTCAACACTGCCTCCCCCCACCCCTGCATTCATGTGGAACTCATGTCATGACTTCACTATGAGGAGAATTAAGAGGCGTCAATAGAACCCGGGGCAGAGGAGCCTGGTGAATGGGTTCTTTGGAGGTACTTTCATTCCCTATCACTGAGTTAGAAGAGCCCACCCAGGTTCCCCTGGGGACCAGCGCCCTGGTTCCGTGTAGCGCTCCTGGTTTTTCAGACTGCCCTGAAGCAGAAGCCCAGCCCCAGACCCACGGCCGGGAAGCTGGGACTACAAGGTCACAGCATCACAGCAGCTCAGGCCCCTTCCCCAAGAAAGACCATCCCAGAACCAACGTACTGAGGAGCTGGGACGGACAGGATCTGCTTCCAACCTTGAGATGACGAGCTCTGAGAAGTAAAGGTAACAAAGCCCAGTACCGATACCCTTCCAAGGCTCCCAGACAGCCCACCCTGAGGAGCGCGGACCCACCCCTGTCCTGGCACAGCTGCGTGGGGCGTGGATTTTACCTGCACATGACAGGCTGTGATAATGGACGTATTGCCAACTGGGGACCCCAGCGGCTTCTGTGCTGAGCAAGGCCGATGTAACCTCCTACGTCACACGCCTCCGGCCTGCCCTCAGGAGGACAAAGCGGCTGGGTACCTCTGGGTGAGTTTCTGTCGGGGGGCTCTCTCCATCGGTTCTGCTCTTCTGCGGACACCAGGCATGCTGCTGGCAGGGCTCCTCCCCGCCTCCGGGCCACTGCCCGCCTCAGGAGAGCTCCCTTCTCTACTTGCTCTGATCTGACCCATCAGACTCATCGGGCCTTTCCGTTCTCCTGGCAGAACAGCCCGGCCCCCGCCCATACCGCGCTGCACGCAGGCCGAGCGGGCGGTCCTGGGTTGTCGGCATCCATCCTTCTGCTCCCCCCAGTGACGCGGGAGCGCTCACGGCCCCAGCTGCCCCTGCACACAGCCTCTGCCGGCTGAACTCGTTATTGGCATTACGTAATATAATTAAGTTTGGTGTAGCGTGATGAAACACGAACACAAAAACCGAGAAGCTTGTTTCTATGAAAACTAAGTCAAACCTCTGGAATGACTCGGGAGAGACCAGTCATTAAACTGAACAGCACTCGGATGATGGGGGCAAGTTTCACTTTTCTCCTAAAAAAACTCAAACTGGACACCATCAGTAATAGGCATGTGATTGCAAATAATCAACTTAGACCTTCCATAGGCAGTCCTCGCCCCAGGGAGCTTTGGGCCATGAAAGAATCCGAAAATGGATGCACGTTTTTAGAGCTTAAGTGAAAATAAAGGTTCAGCGCTGTGTGTATTAAGTCATTTTTCCTTGGCTCAACTTTTTTTCATCAGTGGGACGAATAAAAGCTTCTCGTCTATCTGGTGAGAACCCCCGAATCCTGCCTGGGGAGCTCCTCGCCCACGCGAATCCCTGCTCACAGAGCATCTCCCGGCGACAAGAGATAAGAACACAAAGCCCGCAGTCCCTCCCTCGGGCCCTGCTGTCCTGTGTGTGTGCCCATTCCAGGCAGGGGAACCCTCCTGGCTCTCTGACTCTAGCCCCTCCCACGTCTCCCCAGATCTACTCCTGATTGTCCAACAAAGCTGCTCTCTGCTGTCCATCTGGCTGATTCCAGGTCTGTGCTGGTTCATTTTATGTGCCACTTGGCTGGGCCATGCGACCGAGATATTTGGTCAAGCACTATTCTAGATGATTCTGTGAAGGTGTGTTTTAGACGAGGTTGACATTGAAGTCAGTAGACTTTTAATTGGTAGCAGATTGTTCTCTACAATGTGGGTGGGCTTCGTCCAATCAGTAAAAGTCACACACATTTTGTTGCATTACCCCTAAGTGATTCTCCAACATGGGTAAAAATAATGTGATAACGGGATCATGATGTTGAAAGTATGCCATTTTAGGATATTCACGCTTATGAGAATTGTTGAGATAGTTCAGAATTATATTCTAAAAATGGGGGAGTGGGGATGAAGGAATATGGAAAACAATGCCCCGCAAGGAAAGGTAACTGAATACATTTATTCATAATCTAAAGAAAGGCAAGTGGAAGCTATCTCAATTATATGAACCTAAATTAGAGACGGCCATCACAGATGTTCCTTGTCTCCTCTGAGACGGAACAAAAGCCAAGACCTCTGACGGAAGAGCATGGCCTTCAGGATCCACAGGGTGAAGGTTTATAAGGGATGAGAAAC